CTCCGGCAGCTTAGACACGTTTATCTCCGGCAATCTCAAAACTACGTCGTTTTGTTTATTTATTTTCTTATATTAATTGATTCACCTTTGAATGATTATGATTCCCTTTTTCTCTCTCTTCCTTTATCACCATTAATCCATCTTTGTACGGTTATGATTTGGTGGTCGGAGATAACGTTATCTCAAGCAACTTGAGAAACGTTAAGCCCATATAGGATTAGAATCATTTTACACCGTATAAGACAAATAAGTCTTATATCACATCTGAACCGTTGATGGGCGAATATCATCACTTGATATTTGTAGTATAATTAATGATTAATTAATATTAATTAATTCGTATAATTTCCTAAATATAATTGTTAGATGCACGAAAATCGACGGTTGAGATATGATGTAAGATTTATTAGTTTAACACCGATGTAAACTGATCCTGATCCTATATATATATATATATATATATATATATATATATATATATATATATATATATATAGAGAGAGAGAGAGAGAGAGAAAAAAAAAATTTGACACCAGTGTCAAATTTGAAATTTGAACCTCATCTGAGAGCCATTAGATTTAAAAAAATCAATGGTGTCACATACTTACAAATCAGAGTCGTTGATCTTTTTTTATCTAATAGCTCTCGAATGAGATGTCAAATTTCAAATTTGACACTGATGTCAAAAGATCCTACCTATATATATATATATATATATATATATATATATATATATATATATATATATATATATATATATATATATATATATATATATATAGGATTAGAATCATTTTACACCGTATAAGACAAATAAATCTTATATCACATCTCAACCGTTGATGGGCGAAAATCATCGATTGATATTTATAGTATAATTAATGATTAATTAATTCGTATGATTTCTTAAATATAATTGTTAGATGCACGAAAATTGACGGTTGAGATATGATGTAAGATTTATGTAACATCCCGTGAATGTAGGAGTATGGATAAATTTCGGTCAGAACATGGGAGCATGGCTATAATTTGAATTGTCTACAAATTGTAGGGTGGACTTAAATTAAATTAAGAAAATGATTTTAACTAAAATTGTGGGTATATATATATATATATATATATATATATATATATATTTTAAGAGTGTGAAACCCTCCTGAAAAGGATAGAATTAATTTAATCATAGCATATAAGAATCTGGACTATTATTTAGTAATGACATGAAATAATAATTAGAAGCCCACATGAAGCCACACTCATTAGGAAATTAAATTGGACCCTATCCACCTCTCTAGGTGTCGGCCCAAATATTTTGGGAGGAAGGTCAAGTTAGCCCAAAACTATTAATTAATCCCTAGCTTATCTCAATGAAATCTGAATGCATGTGTGTTCATTGGTCAAAATTAGAATGCATGTGTACTCATTGGTTAAAACACGCACACACCCATCCTAATTTTAGTACTCATTGCTGAACTGTTCCTTGAGTTGGGAAAGCCTTGTTAGGCTTTGCATGCATTAATATGTATATGGGCAGCATTTGTAAGATCGTATTAGCACACTTTGATGATTGCAGGACATGTAGTGTTAAAGTAAAAATATAAGCCCTTGGTAATACTAATAAAACTGAAATTGCATGTGTAGACAACCGTGGGGTTTGTCATTTGATAACATGGGGTAGAACAAAAAATTAAAGGCAGAAAAATTATTAGCATTGGAACATGATACCCCGGTTAGAAGCTTAGGGTTTGAAAGAGTATAAGTCTAAATTTCAAGTCTTTATTTTCCCCACTTTGTTCGGTTTCTACATGTATCATAGGAGGGCGTTTTGTTGTTGTCATTCCTTTTCCTATTCTGCCTAGCCGTATGAACCTTAAACTTGGTTATGTGCATGTCTAAAGAAATCATTGGGGGCTTGGAACACGGTTTCATCAATTGTGGGTCTGTTTTATTGGAATAGAATGATGTATAGGGCTTGGGAATACGTTAACTTAAGGGGACAATATGCTGAAAATTTAATTAGCCGTGATTAAATGACATCGGTAGAGCTTTGTTAAAATAAACTATAAACTATAAACACCGAGTGATGAACTGAACCTTGGATATGTTAAGAACTTGGATGTAGCCATTTAAATTGTTGGACTGCCTTTCGTTAGAAAGATAAGGGTACAATCTTGCATGTAGATTTTTAGTCATATAGACAGCATACAAATCGATTAATTAGCTCATGCCCAAGTTAAGAAGGTAGGTCTTGTTAAAGGAAAAAAAAAATAGATGTTCTTGTTATTCTTTCCCATGATTCTGTTTTGGACTGAAGTAATCATGTTTTGAAGTGAACTAAATTCTGTTTTGTAATAACTTAGCAATAAGCACTAGGACCCATTGTAACATTTATAATTGGCAGCCTTATGAAGAAAACTAAGGATAGGGAAACTTGTCAACATGCCTTATGTGTTCTATTTTGATGATAATTTAACGATAAGAACCCTTTTGAGCTCGAAAGAGAGCTCATTATCATGTTTTAGGACTTCCCTTTTCGGACCAGAATTCTGATTTAGTTTCTCATGTTGTAAACCTATGTGGACACATGTATAAAGACCCCCCTAGAGCACCCTTAGGCCTTGAAGGGAAGACTATGTAAATAAATTAATTATAAGCATTTCATTGAGGGTTAAAACCGAATCAGCATGTATGTGAGACTTGGGTTGTGTTACTGTTAACATGTAGGCAAATTAATATGAAGTCAGAAAACTAATTTTATGAACCACAAGAACCGAACCTACCTGTGTTAGAAACCTTGGCTTTGTATCTTGATAACCTAGGGTAATGCACTCTCAAGTCAGAAAATGTACTTAGCTAGGAGCTTTGAAACTCGATTATAAATCTAATACTAAGAAGAATGGAAATTGTGAGTAATGGGTAAGAGATATAAAATAAAAACCTTAGCACATAATTGTAATTGTATATCGAATATGCATGTGTAAGTTACTTTGGATTATGTTATTTGAGAACATATGGTAATGCAACCTTAAGTCTGTATATTAATTTAATTTAAGAACCATGAAACCGATGGTGAACCAAGGATTTACGAGAATGGGAAAGCTAGGTAACGTAGGGGAATGAATGTGATCAATTCTGATTTGGTGTATATGTTTGTTTAGGTGCGCAAGGTCCTAAACAATTGGACTGTTTGATGATAATTGGAATGCCTGATTTAAAAGGTTAAAGACTCGAGGTAAGTGTCTGGTGGCATTACCTAATGTGATTATTAGCTAGCGTATAGAATTGTGAATTGTTGCTCACACGTGCCTTGGATTAATGTGCTGTCATATGCTATATGTATGCTGCCTATGAATGTGACAAGATGGAAAATTCTGTATGAGAAGTAATTGTTATGTGGTAGCTTGGTACGGAAAGTACATGAAATATATGCTATTATGATGATGATCTAGTCATGCATATACACCTCATAATTCATTTGTTTCTTGTTTGTGTGTAAAGCATATCATGACATACATGCACGAATTTCATGCTGCTCATGGACTAGAATAGTTATATAAATATGCATACGTTTGAGCACGCATCATATAGGCATCCCTTCGGTACCAGGGTATGGGACACTTGACTTCCGTCCTCATAGGCCACAGTTGGAATTCACCTTTGAGGAGCCATTATGGAATATCCACTGTGTATGTTAGTACGTGCACGACGGTGCTATGAACGTACAAGGAAATGGTGTTATATACGCACTATTATGACTATTATGAATATACATGACCATGACGTTATATGCGCAATAAGATGATGATTAACAGCTGTACGGAATTTTAAATGTTGATGCGACTGTTTTGGAATTCTGTGCCGCCTAGTTTAATACTGTTGCATTATTGGTTTTGCTATCACACTACTGAGATTTTTCTCACCCCTTCGGGGGCTCAATTTTTATAAATTGCAAAAGGACTTAGAAGCATTTGAGGAAGTGTTTGATGACATGATTACATGACAATTCTGTTAAGTTATGCTATTGACAACCTTGTTGTTTGCTCGCTGTCTCTGTTGAGTGTATTCTGAATATTTGACCTTGATGTAGTTTCTTAAAGAATGGCTTGCCATGATGTATATTCTGTTTTGAAAAGAAGTGTAGCATGATGTTTATAATTCTGGTAATTAGTTTGCGAAAAGAATTGCTGTTGTACTTAAATTCGGATTTTTGAACTATTTTTGCGAGCACTTTGCGAGTTGTCGTTCTGGGGCTACAGACCTCCAAATGAGGTATAATTCATATGTATATAAAGCCCCAGTTGTGTACTTTCAGATTATATAAAGATTATGTTCAAAGCTTGTAATTCCGATTTATTATGATTTTTACAAGTCAGGAGGTTTCTGGAAAAATACAATGAATTTTCAAGTACTTTGCGAGTTCTGTTTCGTGGAGCAATTCACCTCCGATTCGCTTATAATTTATATGTACGCGAAGCCCCAGATGTCTAGTTTCTATATATCAAAGAATATTTTTTTAAGCTGTTGATTTCGAATTTACATGATTTTTGCAAGATAGACTGTTTTCAAGAAAAATCAGAATTGCGCAGCGAAAACCTTTCCAAAAATTTACTTACTGCTTTTATTTTGTGAAGTCAGTTTTCCTAGTAAGATTTTAATTGGTAACATAAAATTGTTTTTACTGAATAGGAATTTTACTTGTCAACGTTACGTCTCTAATCAGTTTTAGCAGACTCTTCCCTTGGATGCATACAAAGGAGGGTGTCACAATTTATTAGTCTAACACCGATGTAAACTGATCCCGATTATATATATATATATATATATATATATATATATATATATATATATATAAAACAAATATCTAACTAGTTTAATTACTTCAAAAAATAATATAATTTATTTATTTAGCAAAAAGTAGCTAAATTTATTAAATACAAAATTAAGTAGAATAAACAAATAATTTTACATAACCCACGCTAGAGATTCTTATTTGCATTCACTTTAAAATTAAGTTGATGAATACGATTAACAACACCGGTCCACAAACAAAATGGTACATGACAAACTGAAAATTGGGTGGCCAGAACATGGAACCAAACACATAATCCAGAAAATAAATAAAAAAAGAAGACAATTTTGGTTTAAGTAATTCTCATGGTGGGTTGAAATCCATTGACAGTAAATCCTCCATCAACAGCAATAACCTGTCCAGTAATGTAGGAAGCAGCCGGAAGGCAAAGGAAAGTCACCAAAGATGACACTTCATGTGCTTCTGCTATCCGCTTAGTCGGTGTTCGAGATAGTATCTCATTGACAAACTCTTTGTTAACAAGCAACTGTTACAAAGGTAAACAATTAGCAACCCAAGTTAATGAAAATAATATTGTCATTTGAAGATTAATAATGCGGATGATCACACGGAAATTACAAATATATAAAGTATAATTCATCCCTTTTGGTTCTAACCGAAACTGGTCACTCCCTAGGTTCAACTATTGTTAATTTGCTTCTTGATACTTTACATTGTCATATGACCAAAAAAAAAAAAAAAGACCACTCCCCGACTAACGAGTGGGGGTGAAAAAAATCCTTGTATGCAACCTTACCCTTACATAATTGTAAAGAGGCTGTTTCCTGGATTCGAACCCATGACCTTTCAGTCATAAAGGAATAGTTTTACCACTGCTCCGGTTCACCCCCTTTTAGGTGTAATCACAATGTAGCATAATGCATATAACTCCATGAGCCATCCCCATATGAAGGTGTTAATATATCTAAAAATATCATATAATATCTTGAACAACGACCATATCTTAAAATAGTATTGGTTTCCATATTTCTTTATTTTCAGAATATGCTTCCTTATTTTAGGTGTCTTCTATTAGTATAAATAGGGGAGTAGGCTTTGTCTTTTGTGTAACGACTTCATAACGCATCAATGCAGAATATTTTTCAGTGTAACTCACTTTTGCTCCCTCTATGCCTAACTACCTATAATTTCAATAGCAGGCAATTTAGATTTTCCTATTAAATAATCTAAACAAATTAAAAAGTCTTAAAGATGGATAAACATACGCTTCTTATTTGAATACTCTCACACTACTGATGATCCATAAAAGAAGCATGAATACAAGAACTTCACATCATAGATAACGTATATTGATATTTTAAAATATAGCATGAACACTGAGTGATGAATGTAGCAAGGGCAGCACTAACAAAATAAAAGAATACTATACTATCTGCACAAAATTAAATAATGAGCAATCAGTTACAATTCCATCCAACTCAAGATTTCAGTCAATGTACAACGTCAATCTTCATAAAGAAAAAATGATAAGTCCTTGGAACAGAAAGTAAAACAGGGTGAGAGAGCATTACATGTTCCACAAGTGATGTTTTTGTATACCAGGGTGCAACACAGTTGCTCCTTATATTGTCTTTTGCCCATTCACAAGCAAGATTAATGGTAAGCTGATTCATTGCAGCTGAAGAAAGCAACATGTTGAATCTCTATAGTTAATATCTTTCAAAATAATTAGTAATATATCATGCTTGAGCAAATGATGACATAATAATACATCAACTCACCTTTACTCGCTGAATAAATGATTCCGGAACCTATGCTTGTCAGACCTGCAACAGAGGAAATGAACACAATGCTTCCATTTCCAGATGCTTTAAGAAGAGAATATGCAAGTTGGCATAGATTGTATACAGATTCCAAGTTAGCAGTCATGATTTTTGAATAATCTTCAGCAGTATACTCAATTGTTGGCTTCCTCACATTTGTTCCAACATTGTTTACCTAAGCTCACAAGATGATGATATAAACAAAATTAATTAAGAGATGAAGTCATGCTCTTAAGAGAAACAAATCTAGTAATTTGAACATTTCTAATTTTTATCAATTTTATGCTAAAATCATCAAATAAATATAAATAGCGGAGTTGTTTACATAATCTTTTCACTTTTTTTTTTTTATCTTTTCATTTACTCTCTTAAAATCCTCAAATAATTACAAGTAGCAAACACAAGGCTAAAACACCATTCTAGGACTTTTGAGCAAAAGAATTGTCCAGTTAAAGCTGATTGGATAAGTTTTTTCAAACTAATGCAATCAAACACGTCACTGGTATTGACCGGACTAGTCCCGTCAATGATATTGATGGGACTTGTGCCATGTCAGTGCCACATAGGCAGTCTCGTTACCGTAAAACTTCGGAAGACCATAACTTTTGACTCGAGTCATGATTTTTTTTTTATTTCACATAACTTTTCGAGATCTACGCAATGACACCTCATTTGACATATTTTATCTCCCACAAACATAGTTTGAATTTGCAACAATAGTTCCAGAATTACAAGATCATTTAAATCCAGAAGATCCTGAGTTCTTTCCGAACCAACACCATGAGTTGACGCATGTGTCATCTTCTAGATTTAAATGCTCTTATGATTGTGCCATTGTTATAAATTCGAATTATGTTTGCGGGAGATAAAATATGTCAAATGAGGTGTCATTGCATAAATCTCGAAAAGTTACGTGAAATAAAAAAAATAATCTGATTTGACTACCCGAGTCAAAAGTTATGGTCTTCCGAAGGTATAGTATGGGACTGCCTACATGGCGCACGAGTTCCGTCAATATCATTAACTACACTAATCACGTCAATATCATTGACGGGACTAATCTACATTAACTTCAAAAAAATTACCCAATCAACTTTAAGAGCAAACCTTTTGCCCAAAAATCTTAGAATGATGCTTTTTACGAAAACACAAATACAAAATAAGTTAATCCAAACCCGTACAAGGCTTGAATGTGATTCCTGTAACGTAAGAAAGAAGGGACTCACAAGTATGTTGAGCTTGCCGTTGAAGGCAGAAGCCACTTGTTGAATAAGCTTCTCTCTTTGGGGTGGAGAACTCACATCACAAACCGATCCAGAAACCGAAAAACCCTTCTCTTTCCACTCCTTTAAGCACCGATTCAGATCCTCTTCATTCCTAGAACAAGTGTACACAGTGGCACCAAACTCCGCCAGTTCCTCCACCACAGCGTGCCTGAACAGTGAACCATCACACCCACAAAATTCAACACATAAAAAACGTAACTTTAAGTATTTTTAAGAAACCCCAGAATAAAAAAATAAATAAAAAAAACCAATTTCAATTCAAGCAACAAAGAGAAACATTTCTACACAGCGGAGCGCAAGAAAGAAAGTGACACTAAAAAGAAGATTAAGAAACCCGATTCCACGTGTTCCTCCAGTAACTAGAGCAGTGGTTCCCTTGAGGGACCATCTCGAGCCTCTGCTACTGTTCTCTGGGTTCGCCATTGTTGGTTCTGTGACATTGTTTTACTTTTGTTCTTATCTTCTTCTGAACAATGTTTTTTCGATCATCCGAAAAACGACGTCGACTTGATAGTGGTCATATCTCATGCTGCTGTGTGCGCACCTGTATCTTCGGCCCAAGCCCAACTTGATGTAAAAACTTTGGGCCCGACCACTATTTGCTGGGACCTCTGCATTTGATTCAGTTCGAGATTGATAAATTGCAATAATATTACAAAGGAAAAATGTGAATAATATATATTTTGAAATACTTTTTAACTATCTTTTTTAGATAAATCACATGTATAAGACAATCCTGTTCGAGTCGAGAATATCTACATCATGAAAAGACAAACTCTCCCGAACATAAATTTTTACATTCACAAGAACTTCAACCCAATACTTTATTTAAGACAAATCAATCATGTATCACTTGAACCAAATCCTCTTTGGTTCTTAACTGTTTGTTATTATCTAAATCTACATAAATTTCATTAAATAAGAAATGTATTCAAATTATCCAAAAAAAAATTACATAACATATGTTCAATAAAAATTTAAGGAGGGCAAGCTTGGAGTTATGTTATTCCGGCACCAAAATTTGCCCTTTATATTTAATATTGATTTAAGTAGAACAATTAAATAAATTTAGATTATTTATTTACTCTCTTTTATTTATTTTTCCTTTTCCTTAATATCTTTGGATTCATTGGCTGCCGACCTAATAATTTAGAATAAAAGTGATTTTGATGTTGAATTAAATATGTTTACATAACCCACGAATGAAGATTCTTATTTGTATTCACTTTAAAATTAAGTTGATGAATACGTTCAACAATACCAGTCCACAAACAAAATGCTGCATGACAAACTGAAAAAAAAGGGTAGCCAAACCAGTAACCAAATCCAGAAAATAAAAAAAAAAAAAAAAAAATTGGTTTAAGTAATTTTCATGGTGCGTTGAAATCCATTCACAGTGAATCCTCCATCAACAGCAATAATCTGTCCAGTGATGTAGGAAGCAGCTGGCAAGCAAAGAAAAGTGACCAAGGATGACACTTCATGTGTTTCTGCTATCCTCTTATTCAGTGTTCGAGATAGTATCTCATTTGCAAACTCTTTGTTAGCCAGCAACTGTTAGAAAGGTAAACAATTAGCAACCAAAGTTAATGAAGGTAATATTGTCATTTGAAGATTAATAATACAGATGATCACACTTAAATTACAAATACTAAAGTAAGACTATGTTAGCAGAAAACTCTCCATACACGGACCAGCTATAATACACAACTACACAAGAACATCAGCAGATCCAGCAGGGAAGCTACAAAGTCAACCCTCAATCCCATGTGATGTGACTCAATAAACAAGTCCATATTTGCTATGTTGCCGCCCTCTCAGCCAGTTAATTTCCTTTTTCATGCAATTTCATATGAATTTAACAAGTATATCTACACAAACTAACAAGCACTACTAACCACTACAATAAGCCACAGACTATTGTCCAGAAACACAGTCCATATCTAGAAAAGTTCAGTCAACAGTAATACTGAAACACACCTGATTTTGGTACACCTTAACATGGAAACCTGAGTAACAACAGATTTTTTCATATCCAGACTTAAATCAAACAAACAGCAGCAGGTAAATGTTTAAAAAAATTGGAGGACTGTCTGATTACATAAAACATTTTGTCATGTAAGTCACCCAATAAGCAATACTAAATGAATTTTATAATAAAAGTAATTACTAGAAAGAAATTACTAGAAAGAAATCGATAACAAATTTATCCTCTTTTGTTCTACCCGAAACTGGTCCTGCCCTAGGTTCAACTATTGTTAATTTGCTTCTTGATACTTTACATTGTTAGATGACCCTAATGGTAGTAAATAGTAATTAAGCTAGTGTAAAATAAAGAACTAGAAAATAAAATTTTGTCAATATGGAAATCAATAAAGTTGTGATAGAATATTAATGTAATCAGTAATCACAATGTAGCATAATGCATATAACTCTATGAGCAATCCCCATATGCACGCAATTTAGATTTTCAAATTCAATAATCTAAAGGATTATTGAGTCGTAAAGACTGATAGATGCACTCTTCTTATCTGAATACTTTCACACACACACTGTTGATCATCCTCAAATGGATCATCAACATAAGAACTTCAAAGCATAGATTTTGTATAATGATATTTTATAATATAGCATGACACTGAAGTGGTGAATGTAGTGAGGACAACACTAACAAAATAGAAGAATACTATCTGCACAGAATTAAATAATGACCAATCAGTTACAGTTCCATCCAACTCAAGATTTCAGGCAACGTACATAGTCAATCTTCCCAAAAGAAAAATGATAAGTCCTTGGAACAGAAAGTAAAACAGGGTGAAAGAGCATTACATGTTCCACAAGTGATGTTTTTGTATACCAGGGCGCAACACAGTTGCTCCTTATATTGTCCTTTGCCCATTCACATGCAAGATTCTTGGTAAGCTGATTGATTGCAGCTGATGAAAGTAGCATATTGAATCTCTTTAGTAAATAACTTTCAAAATAATTAGTAATCTATCATGTTTGAGCAAAGGATGACATGATTATACATGAACTCACCTTTACTCGCTGCATAAATGGTTCCAGAACCTGAGCTTATGCAAGTTGGCATAAATGGTATGCAGAGTCCAAGTTAGTAGTCATCACTTTTGAATAATCTTCGGCAGTATACTCAATTGTTCGCTTCCACACATTTGTTCCAACATTGTTTACCTAAGCTCACAAGATGATGATATATTGATATAATCAAAATTTATTATGAACTGAAGTCATGCTCGTACGAGAAACAAGCCTAGCAATTCGAACATTTCTATTTTATCAATTTGACGCTAAAATAATCAAATAGTAACAAATAACAAAGTTTTTTACACCATCTTTTCACTTTCTTTTTTTCCTCTTCATGAACTCTCTTAAGAATTGGTTCTAAGTTGTTTTAAAAACAAAGACAAAATAAGTAACACAGCCACATAAAAACCGTGAATGTGTTTCTTGTGACGTAAGAAAGAAGGAACTTACAAGTATGTTAAGCTTGCCACTGAAAGCAGAAGCCACTTGTTGAATAAGCTTCTCTCTTTGGGTTGGAGAACACACATCGCAAACCGACCCAGAAACCGAAAAACCCTTCTCTTGCCACTCCTTTAAGCACCGATTCAGCTCCTCTTTATTCCTAGAACAAGTGTACACAGTGGCACCAAACTCCGCCAGTTCCTCCACTATAGCGTGCCTGAACAGTGAACCATCATACCCAGAAAATTCAAAACGCAAAAACCGTACCTTTAAGTCGTTTTAAGAAACCCCAGAATCAAGAAACCCGAATTCAATTCTACCCACAAAGAGAATCCACCAAAAAGAGAGAGAGAGAGAGAGAGAGAGAGAGAGAATTCAATAATGTGTAGCGCTAGAAAGAAAGTGAGAATAAAACAAAAAATAAAAAAAGAGGAACCCGATTCCACGTGTTCCTCCAGTGACGAGAGCAGTGGTCCCCTTGATGGACCATCTTGAACCTCTGCTCCTGTTCTCTGGGTTCGCCATTGTTCTTCTGAACTTGTTTCTTAGATTTTCCGGAAACGACGTCGATTTGTGACTAGGCATGTCTGCTGTTTGATGTGCGTGCTATTTTATCTCCGGCCCAAGCCCAACTTGATGAACCAAATGTGGGCCCAACTTCTATTTTCCTGATTTCAATATGGGCCCATTGTGGGGTTATTTCATGTTGTCACTGCTGTTGAGGGAAGAGAATTATGAAGAATCTTTTTGCCTTTTTATTTTGGAAAGTGACCCACACATGCATGCACGAGTGTGTATATATGATAAATAAGAGAAATAACAATAGTAATTTAAATAAGGATGATAAATGAGAAGTCAAAAAATGAAATTTATGTTTTCTTAAAGGAAAAAACGGTTGTCTTTTTAAATGATATAACTTTGTGTCATTTTAATAAAACAACGTCCTTTTGGTGCATGATAAGTAATTTTTTGCATTCTCTCTCTTCTACTTTCTCTCTCATTCTAATTTTATAGAGGATAGAGAGTGTAAAAAATTATCAAAACGACGTCGTTTCATTTAAAATGATTCAAAGTACAAACATTTTCTCCTTATTTAAAAATAAGTATAATTGATTGTAATTTTATATGTTTTAAGAGAGTGACGCGAATTTGGGTTTTTTCTAAGGGTGCCTAGCTAACAATAATGAGCTTAGTTGCAGCCCTAATTATAATTTAACTAACCCTATGAGATTTGACTTACATGTATGGAAAAAAGTCTTTGAATTGAATTGATATATTCGTTCATGTAGGAATTTCAGTCATGTGGCACATTCACATGCATAGGTAATTAGGTACCTACAAAATAACAAAACCCATTATAGTCACGGATTATAATTTACAATTGCCATGACGTGCATGTACCTTGTGCTTATTTCCCTTTTGTCAAAAGAACCTCAAAGGTCTAGTTTTTTTTTCTTCTATTTGAAGCATGATATAACAAATTGAGTTAGCTAGGTTTCTAGGAAGAGTAAAGAGACATCGTGGGAAGGAAGGAGTATTAAGCTTGTGAAGTGTCATTTGTCAAAGCGTCCTTCACGACCAATTGATAGAGATTAATTATACGACGAAATGTCTGTATAGTTGTTTTCACTGCCAAAAGCTAGAAACACTGCCTAATGCATAGACACACACGTGCTAGGTAGCTACAATTTCTAATCTCTATAGACTCTTAACTGCTCTGAATTACACTAAAACTTCAGCAATATATATATATAGCAATATCTAGAGATATTAATATCAACATGCTCTGCATACATACATCAAAGCACACAAAATAAAGAAAAAGAATTATATCTATCTGAATTCCCACAATAAATACCCCAAAGAAAAACAGAAGCACACACATCATCCCCATGTGACCTCTCTCTGCTGCAAATATATATATCTTCAATTCAAACATAAGATATAGCCAGAATCAAAATGTTGCATTAATTAATCAAAATCATCCCATGAACCTACTACTTTCCATACATAATAAACACCAAGTTGTCAGGAAAAGGAAAAAAAAAAGTTTAAATATGAAGAAAATAATTGTTGAATGAATTTTCTAATTTGACAAGTTTGAGAGTTAGTTTTACAGCAACGCATGTCAAAAATCAGTGTGCTAATGTCTTATCACTATGTGTCTCTTTTATGCCAATGTCTTATCACTATGTGAATCAATATAAATCTAGCCATGTTGGGAAAAAATTTGTGTGAAGGGTAGCAAGTATTCCCCCTTAGTCATAGACAGCAATGCTTATGCTTCTGTGTTTCTCTCAGTAGACTGCAAAGAAATGAAGTCAAAAGTGATGTTTCGTCAAATTTCCATACAAAGGAAGGTTGAAAAGAAGTGAGTGTGACGTCCTTTTGTGTATTATGGAGGAACGGTCTATGTCACAATAAGGTGGCTAACACTGTTTTTGAGTTACTACAAGCAGAATAGTCTCGGGCTTCTAAATATTTGGAAGATAAGAAAGGGACATTTGTAGGGATAACTATAGCTAACATGGATATATGGCACCAAGAGTAAAAACAATGACATGCTAATAAGGCCAATGATGTGATGTCCTTTCTATCTCTCTCTATAGTCTATACCAAACTAAATTAATATTCGTCTCTATTGTATCAATATTCAATTTCCGTGTGGTTGGTTGGTTATTTGGAAGTGGTAGGAAGGAACATGTGGAAAACAACTGAACGGTTTGGAATTTATGGAAATGATGAGGTGAAGTAGTAAGTGGGTGACATGATCCGGGTAAAAAGGTTATTCATAATTTTTGTGCAGGTTTATATGCATGTGATACTGTTAGTTACCTGGAATATATGTAGCTGAAGTGACTTCTAATTGTCAGTTACTGTCAGTTCTTCTACCACTTAATTAATACCTTACAGTTGAACTTTTCTTTCTCTTTGATTCCTTTGCAGTTAACTGGAGGAATCAAATTTGTGAGTGTTAAGACATGGTTGAGAACCAGACACACAGAGAAGAGAAGAGATTAATAAAATAAAATAAAAATTATATAAGTGATTTTTTCATGAAAAAATCCAAATTGGTTTATCTGAATCTATTTGTTCATTTTACTTTGCATCCCCTTCATTGTGAAACCCTAGCACAGAGATTCATTTCCCATTAACATATTAGAGTTTGTCCAACTTTATCACAATGAGATGGTTAAATTTTACATATTCTTGAAAGCACTATAGTGCTGTGTTTTCCTTTCTCATTTGCTTTCAATGAACAGCATGCAGTTACCATACTGATAATTCTATATGCTCAAAAACAGAAAAATGAAACATATTCAAGAGATGAAATAAGATAGTAACGTGCAACTAGAGATAGAATTAATATTCAAATTAACATTACATGAAAATAAACCTTATCATTCTATTCAAGGTTTAGTTAGGTGAAGAAAATGTTCTTGGCTTCTTTCCTATATTCTATCAACCCCTAACAGAAAAATAAAAATAAAAAAAACAAAAATAGAAAGACAAACACTGACATTCCATTCCAACTTCTTCTGTCTGTGCTATATACTAAACTTTCTGTGGTTTCCCCAGCCTGAGTTCAAGATCTAAGTCTTCCATTCCAGGCTTAAGTCCAAGTACGAATTCTGCAGACTGAAAATTTAGGTGTCTATCATTTGAACATGGCTTGAGGAAGAGAGGCAGAGAAGAAATAGAAGTCTTTGTTCTTTTATATCTGATGGCTTCATCCCCACGTGAATCAGTTGGTAACTTTTGGCAAAAAACCAAATTTTGTGCCACAGACAAACTTGCTTCAACATAATCTTTACATCCCAAACCTTTATAAAGTTCTTCCCTTGCATTGATTAGCCCTTTTGGTTCTGAATCAGGAGACATGTTAGGCTGATAGAAATTCTCTTTTGTGGACATAGTTGATGGCCTAGAAGATGAGAGTTTGCTTGTTGTAACTGTACCAGCAGCAAGGTTAGAGTAAGGATTAAGACAACAATCTAGGTGAGAGCAGTTCTCTGAAGAAAATTGAGCAAATAAAGACTTACAATCATTTTTGTGATGATGATGATGATGAAGGGTTTCATTCCCTTGGCTAAGATTTTGTTTGAGCTTAGCTCTGTCCCTTCTGTGCACATTCATGTGGCCCCCTAGAGCTTGTGCAGACTTGAACTCTCTTTTACAGAAATGACAGGTGTAAGATCTTGGAGGCCATCTACAACCACCAAGTATCCTAGCCGCATCTTCTGCAAAAGCCCTTTCCTCCCATGAGTTGTTGTTGTTGCAGGCTCCAAATGGTTCTTGAATATGTGACTTCAAGATTTGTTTTCTCTTCATCCACATCAAGTACTGAGATTCCTCCATGTTGATTAGTAGCAAAGAAAAACTGTAGAAGCTTAGAATGAGAGTATAAGGTGGAAGAAGTTTTATTACATTATGAAAAAGGCTAGGGAGAGAATTGAATATAAATGGTATAGGTTTTGCATGTCCTTGTAATTATATTTGAAAGCAATTAAAGAATCTATGAGGTAAGAGAAAAAGGTTAGCTGAAAGGGTCTTTTGTTATAAGTTCTGCTTCTTGCCCTTTGTACTGAAGCTATTATGTTGTTTTTTAGCTTGGTGTTTGCTTGTTACCCGGGTTAGGGGGGTCCCATTTATGCAACTGTCTTGCATCAGATTTGGTTCACACGTGTGAAGGAGATAACGGTTATGAGAGTAAATAATACAAGTAAACTGTTTATCTGAAGCTTCCACCATACCTATATGGTAATACTGTTAATTACACTGTCCAGTGTTCACCAACAACTTCTACTATGTAGTATGTACTTAAAGTATATGTTATTAAAACTCGTATCTATTATATCTGTTCTTCTACAGCAACTATTTTATTATTGTCAACAAAGGAATTGCCAAAGAAAAAGAAAAAGCATCAAATTACTTTGAAGAGTTGTTGGTAAGCCCAATTTCAGAAACACACAGTGTATGTAACTGCAGTTCAAAGTGTTGAAGTCATTCCTTTCTATCATCCGTGAACAAATGATAATATTAAGTTTATGAAGTAACTAAAAAGGTCACCCTTTTTGGATTATCTAAACACCTTTTCCTTTTGCATGTGTCGCTCATAAACACTCAATCCTTTTTTAGGCTTTTCTTCCCATAAACCAAGTTAAGCTAACAAGTCAAATTTATAAATCAAATTAATGATGGATAATGGATTGAGTATCTTTCTTTCTCTCTCTCTCAACTCAAACACAAACACATTATCTGTAACATCATGCAGAGCAAATTGGTATCAACTAATCAAGTTCCTTGTCATTTAAAAAAAATAAAATGATTGGTGGACTTTATTGGGGAGGAGTATTATTGTGAAGGGCTTATTTTAGAACCATTTCATTGATTGTTCTGAATAAGTACTAAATCAATTAAACTCGAGCCCCACAAGCTAGGGACTCAAAATATATTATTAATTACCTAATCCTTTGTACTTAAGCAAGAACAAGTGCCTTGCACTAGTGACCAAGCCAGAAAGGATGTGCCTAGCTACCATTTGTGCTGACATAAGACAATGGATCTACCTATGTATTTATGCTAGTGTTCCTGCACACATGAATCTGAAAGCCAATTAAGATACGACAAGTATGATCATTAATTCAAATCGAATTTGAAGAGCCATGCACCAACGTTAATTTAAACTCATTATATTATGTAATTGTTTTTCCGGAATGTAAGGTCAATTTTGGATTAATTTTAATAATTTTTTTGATAATTTGCTTATTGTTAGAAAAAAATTTATCCAGTTTTTGTTCATAAAACAAAAATTTACCATTGCAGACTTCAATTCCATAGATAGAGGCTTGGTCCAAGTCCAAGTAAAAGAAAAATGAATTCAACAGTTGAAAAATATAATAGGGTCCCAAGTAATGTGTTAATGAAAAGGGAAAATATAAACTAGACATTTGTAAACAGTAAGGAAATAATGGAAGACTGACCAAAGTGTCGGCAAAAAAATTTATCAAACTGTCATGCCAACAGTAAATTTTGTCAAAATACCACGTGGCATATTTCGCTACATTGTGTAGCGAAATATGTGTGCAAATAATTCGTTACACAGTATAGCGAAATATGTCACGTCAGAACCAAAAATGCCATGTGTCAAAATTGAAGAAATTCGTGTAACGAATTTCTTCAATTTTGACACATGGCATTTTTGGTTCTGAGCATTCTGATGTGGCATATTTCATTACACTGTGTAGCGAATTATTTGCACACATATTTCGCTATACAGTGTAACGAAATATGTCACGTAGCATTTTGGTAAAATTTACTATTTGCATAACATTCTGATTATTTTTTTTGCTAACGATAATAAAATAGTCACTGTTCCGGAAATAATGCTTGGATAGATGCAGATATATACATGATCTCAACATCAAAGACAATTTAACAATAGAATATTGGAAATGACTTATACTTAGATGTCAAGGTCATTGACTCGTGAAGACTAAAATAACATTGATAGATTCTACTGAAAATGTATTCACTCTTAACTTGTAGAAGGATATTTCGAAATTATATGCATATTTGTTTGTAACTTTATCACAAACCAACAACTCGATGGCTTAATGAATAAGACAAGAAAAGATAAACAGTTTTCTTATTGAATAAGCATATATGTAAGGCTACCTAATTGCATAATGCAGAGTGTGCAGACTGTGACTACTGTCATAGATCAATTTAATATGTTCTTTTGGAAGAAAATGAAAAGGCATGTTGATGTATGCATGCGTTTGACATTTATTGGATGTGATAGGACACTTGGTAATCAACAATTCAATGTAATAAAACTTTATTTAAAAGGAAGAAGAGTAATTGACACGGGCAAGTAGATAATGTCAGTTTGAATTAATTAATGCAAGAAATTCAAATATTAATCTAGTTATTGATAAATGAGTCTGTGATAACGTTGTTCACGATTGTCCCATAAACTATGTAGGTAAGTTAACATTTTGTCAAGTGGCGCCACCAAAAAAGACAATTAATCATTAGCGTGAAGATTTCAACCACATCTGCTACTATGTAACTAATACCCATGACTTTATAATATAGGTAATGAAGAAATTATATAGCTAATAAATTAATTGGATTATTCAGAGATAATGTTTTCTTGATTCATAAATATTATATTATTTTAGCTGGCTTTTGTCTATTTGTTTGGCCAAAATATGTTATGATTACTTTATAATTTCCCAGCCGGCTAAATTTCCACGGCTATTGCCCGTGTTTTTTTTCTTGATGTATAAAAATTTAAGTAGGGTTAGATATTGGTATTTCACTGGGATCATGGAGGACCCCCAGTTTCTTTGAGAATTTTCAAGAGGAATTATATATCACCCACTAATAAAGTCCTTGTATCGGCCAGCGAGGTTGCTTTCCTCTTTTATATATAATATAAAATAAAGAAAAACAAGATTATATGTAAAACAACATTGGAGATTTGATTTTTGTTAGTGATGTTTAGTATTAGGGTAATATCTTATCAAGAATTGTAGTATATTTTTAATTTTAGAGTAAATACTATTTTTGGTCCCTGACAATATCCACAAAGCCCTTATTGGTCCCTAGCAATAAAAAAGGGACATAGTGGTCCCTTAAATTACAAAAAACAGGCCACGTTAGTCCTTCTGTTAAATCTCATCCAACGGCCCAAATAACGTTGCACATTTGGCACGTTAGTTTGCTGACGCGGAATTGAGTGGTCCACCGTGGATGTTGAGACGACGACGTTTTGATAATCAGTTGCATCTCCATGGTCGTGTGGACACCTGACCTAGCATCAGTTGCATCTCCAATCAGTGGCGGAGCCAGGATTAAATTTTAGCCACGGCCTAAAAATTTGATATATTAAAATATTTATCGTAATTACATAAATTTATTAGGAAAAAATTTACTATGAATTCTAGCATACTATATCAAAGCAAATATATAAAAAGGCACTAACCTTTTCGGTGAGCATTTCAGACATAAGAGTTGCACTTTTCTCTCACGGCATAATAAGTAATGAACCAAGCATAGTCCTAAGGATATGAATATACACAAATATAATAACTATATGTATAATAACATTTAATAAATAATTTAAAGTATAATCAAAAGAGTTGTATACCTAAAATTGTATACGACGCTCTTTTAAATTAACGAAATCTTCAAGGATAGAATCTGTAGTAAAAATTTTAGCAATCTCTCTTTCAATATACACTACCAAATTATTTGCAAGAAAGTCATCCTCCATTTTGTTTCGAAGCCTTGTTTTCACAATTTTCATTGCTGAGAATGCACGCTCACTACTTGCTGTTGAAACTGGAAGTGTTAAGATAAGACTAATTAGCTTATCAACTAAATGATAGGAAATTGACTTTCCTGTCTTGGCTAATCCCTGACACAACTCAGAAATTGAAGATAAATTTTGAAGTTCTGGATTTTTTGGGATGTCCTTGTGGAAATGCTTCAATTGAAAATTCAAACTAATTCTCTCCTGCTCAGAAAAATCAAGAGGGTAGTATTTCTCTGCAAGGCTACAAATATCATCAACATTAAATGCTTTGTAACCATTCTTCGGATCTAATGAAGAGCTAAGTGATAAAAGTTCCATTGTTTGCTCAGTAAACCTTCTATCTAACTCTTGTAATTGAAAGTCAATTGTTGAATTAAAGATATCAAAATGATAGTGATGCTCAATAGTTATTTGATCATGTTGTTGACGGCCACGACCTTCAATATATTGAGCATCAAGATCTGGAATATCTATTTCATAAAGCTTGGAGAAATTAACAACACTTTCAAGTATTCTTTTCCAACCATCATCTCGCAATTCTTGAATAAGTTCCTTTGTACTTGAAACTAATTGTATAGCATTCAAAATATCTTGAGATTTTTGTTGTAATGCTTGACAAAGAATTTCAGTGATGCCCATGATCTCCTACATCAAAAGTAAATTAAAGATAAACTCAAAAGAAGTGATCATCTTATAAGCTGCAGTCGCATCTCCTCTTTGAAAGTAATTTAAGCCTTCACTACAAATTTTTTCAAGTACAGAACACGATTCATTATACCCTCGTTGAAGACTGCATATAGAATAAAAATGAGAACCCCATCTAGTATCACTTGCCCTCTTTAATGCACCTATTTGGTTAGAACCTGTATCGGTTTTAAGCTCACCAATAGCCTGCAGATGTTCAAATTCAGAAATTTGGGTAGCTTGGAATTGATCATGACGCTTAGAAGAAGCAGTGATGATATTAATGATAAAATTCAAATTCTGAAAGAATTGATATATAGAAGAAACTTCCTTAGAGACAGCAATCAAGGCTAATTGTAATCGATGAGCAAAACAATGCACATAATAAGCACAATGACATTCATTAAGAAATAATGCTTGCAATCCATTCCATTCACCACGCATGTTACTGGCACCATCATATCCTTGGCCACGGATATTCTGGATATCAAGGCAATGATGTGAGAGTATTTCACTAATAGCATTTTTAAGTGTCATAGATGATGTATCTTGAACATGATAAAGATAAAAAAATCTCTCTTTTATAAAACCATCTTTGTCAACAAATCTCAAGACAAAAGCCATTTGTTCTCTTTTGGATTCATCACGTGCCCCATCCACGATAATACAAAACTTAGAGTCCCTAATATATTTGTGAATCTGTTTTCGCACTTTGTTTGCTAGAACATATAAAATCTCCTTTTGTATTTAAGGTGAGGTATACTTGGCTGTCAATGGAGCATTCTTTAGAACAACATCTGCAACTTTTTCATTGTAAGATGCCAAAAATCATTTCAATAAAATTACCACTATTTCTTGAATTAATAGTCTCATCATGCCCTCTAAAAGCACATCCTTGAAAAGCAAGCCAACGAGCAACATCAATTGAAGTCTTAACACGCAGCCTATTTTTTTCAATTTGTTGGGCATGCATAACTTTATCAATATGACAAGACTGATTAATTAAGTCTACACATGAGATGAGTGCATTAGTATGTTGTGAACAAGAATAATCTCCCATGTGACTTAGAAAAGCACAATTCTTTCCACTATGAACTCTTTTCCAAGTATAAAAACCTTTAATTGTGAATGCATCCCAACCATGTCGCCCACTGGCCTTTGTAGTGAAAAGATAGCATGGTAAACAAAATGCAGCATCTATAGAAGGCGAATACTCAAGCCATGAAGAAAATTCTTTGAACCAAGAAGCTTGAAAACGTCGAGGATGTTTTTCCTTTGAAAATGGATAGGAGCATTGAGGTTGGTATGGCCCAACCATTAAATAAGCTCTCTGTATCTCATCCACTTCATTAGCTGAATATTCCCAAATTGGCTGACGCTTTCCTGGATCACGTTCAAAAATTTTATTTTTGACTATAATAATGTCATCAGTGTGTTCAACAATTCTACGACACTTGGAAGGAGGTTGCTCATGAGAAGGTGCTTCACTTTCAGAAATTATGTTCGCAGGAGCATCACTTGATTCACTTTCGTAGGCTACTTTCATTTTAAAGAACACGTCTATACTTTTTTGTTTATCCTTGCCCATACTTTTTCAACCTACATGTCAATTTGTATATAGCACATATTTGACAATTAAATCAACACATATTTGAAAATTAACAATAATGATAAGAAAGTTATTAATCATGTTGACTAAACACATAAAATATAGCGCAAACAAGAAATATGAATATTTTAACATAATGGAATGCATTAACTATAGTCACTGAGTCTGAGACATGCAATTTAGCCTTTTCAAATTAGATGAACAATTATGCATTCAGTCCATGGCCCATGAAAACGTATATTAGCTTAGACAGGAAACCAAAAGAATAATAATAAACAATAATAAAACAAGCTAAAACATAACGTTGATATTTTTTATTGGTTTTTTTTTTTTGGTTTTTCACATAAATAAAAAGAAAGGCTGAATAAATTAGAATAACGTTGCTATTTTTTTATTTTTTTTTTGCATTCAGCTTTTTGTTTTTTTGGGTTTTCACATAAATAAAAAGAAAGGCTGAATAAATTAAAACAAGCTAAAACAATTATGTATTCAGTTTTGTTTTTTGTTTTTCACATGGCATAATCAATAGGTGAAGTAGTCTGTATGTCTATTTTCTAGCCTTATTAATGTATGCAGTGAAATGTCTTTTCATAAATTAGATTAACTTTGATTTTTTTTATTTGTTGTCATAAAATTATCCATCCAAGCAAGATAACTTTAAATAATAAATAAAAGAAAGGCTGAATATGAAACCTATTAGCTAGATCAGTTTATAAAACCTATTAGCTTCTTCAAAGTTGCAACCTGAAATTTTCTACTTCAAAGTTTCCTTCTTCAAAATGGAGAGGTGCGTGCGGTGCCTTTGGTTTATAGTATGGAGAGTCAGAACTCAGAAAGAAAGGTTGAGTCGTGCACGGTGGGCGAAATCCAACTGGTGGCGAACTGCATTGGAGATCTTCAGCGATGGCGAACGACGTGAGGGATGGAGAGGAGAATTCCATTGATGGTGGTGTGTTTAACTGACTTGGTTATACATCTGCCCTCTTCTTGAGTATTTTTGAGAGAAGGAAGTTGATGATAGAAGAGTTTTGGGTCATTGGGGTGCCTCCCAGAGTGTAGAGATGCTATTTTGACTATCCATTTTCGTGTATGGCTCTGAAGCTCTTTTCTCCCTGAATCATTTTGTTGTCCATTTTGGTGATTACTTGATCCCTATACAAAGACCTATCTTTGTTTCACTTTTCTCTTCCCTCTGCACTTCTTTCTGCTCTCTGTATGTTCCTTTTTCTTATTTTTTTTATTGAATAAAAACAAAACTTATTGCATAAAATTGGTATTCACAAAGGGTACCGTGAGGATGAATGTAGTTCATCTTTTCTGAGGCAAGAAAATGGTTTCATTTAGAGCACTTAGGTAGGGCCTAATTGCCATTTTAGCCTAGGCCGAATCAAAATTAATCATTTAATTATATATAATAAATAATTTTTTTTCAAAATTAGCTAGGGCCCAGTCCCCACCTAGCTGTAACGTGGCTACGCCACTGTCTCCAACGCCCTTATTGGTCCCTGACAAAAATCACAAGGCCTTTTTTAGTCCATAACTAAAGAAAAATAGGGACATGAAATCAGAGGATTTCTATGCAATCAAATTTGTCAAACCAGAAGACATAAATGTACAACAATCTGAAGTTTAGTTTTCTAAATCATGAAATCATTGTATGACACTTATTGTTTCAAATGAAAGTGCAACAAACAACATATAAGCTAAAACTTTGTTGTATACCAAACATAGAAGTATGTCCCTAGCTTAAATGATAAGACAACTTAAACAATGCATACAACATTGCTGCTCTACTTTAGACTTCAGAGAAATAGAACTGACTAACATGCATATTTTCTCTATTCACTTTTACTGCCATATCTTTACCAACAAACACATTACTTGTCAATGATGAGAGCCTGCAGCAGTGCAGATACTAAATAACATAGCTAGTTACAATTTTGCAAAAATATCCCCTTCTTTGTTCACCAGAAAAATTTAAAAGTTAATCTATGAGTAGGATAGATAAATGAGGATATAAAATGAAACTTACAGAAAGCCAAGAACAGAAAAATAATACCATGAAACCCTCAATCTCTCAGTCAATTCATAGTAAAAAGAACATTCAAGAGCTAAGCCAAGTGAACACTTTCATTTTCACCCCAAATTAATTGTAAATTTGCAATTTAATTTTTAAAAATACTAGCATCCTCTTAAACTTACATACACCTAGATCCAGAAAGCATAGAGCATAGCAACAAAGTTTTGCGTTTATTATTACCACTAACCTCTAATATCAATCAATCATAAAAAGATCCTCAAGACTAGAAGGACAAAGCAAAACTCCTCATCCCCAGTCCTCACGAATATCAAGCAGTGCATACCATTGCATATATCCATCGGTGAACCTTTTACCAAAATTGTCTTTACTTCAATAGTTTCATAATTGGCATACAGTAAATAAACAAGAGGAAAGACCCAAGAAAAAGTGAAAGAGGTTTATAAATTAAATTAACCAAAGCAAAATTGAGAACTAGATTATCAATGTCTACTATCTTCAAAACACGTTCTTGGGACAACATAAAAAGCTGTCACCCTAGAATCAAACTTCAACTTTCAGTACCCAAAGCAAGTAAAAAATAAAAATTATATTCCAAATTTCACAAAGGACCAAGTCAAAATTTACCCCAAAAACTAAAATTATAAAAATATTTATGTAGCAAGAAATTCAAAACAAAACCAAAAAATCGGCACTCCAAACTCCAGGAAAAAAAGAGTGCTTTAAGTTGAAGTGTCACCCAAAACTTCAAAACAAACCCATATCACAGTATAACAGTTAAACGTTGATGAATCACTCAAAAGAGTGAAACAATTAAAACAAAAACAACCAAGTCGTGGATGTTCCAACAATGATGTTTCATAGGGTTGATGAATGTTTAAGTTTATCTTTTCTGATTGCATTTAACATATATAGTTGTGGTTGGTGGAAGTGTCATACAATGATTTCATGATTCAGAAAGCTGAACTTCAGATTGTTGTACATCCATGTCTTCTGGTTTAACCAATTTGATTGCATAGAAATCCTCTGATTTCATGTCCCTGTTTTTCTTTAGTTAGGGACCAAAAAAGGCGCTGTGGTTTTTGTCAGGGACCAATAAGGGCGTTGGAGATGCAACTGATGCTAGGTTAGGTGACCACATGACCATGGAGATGCAACTGATTATCAAAACGTCATCGTCTCAACATCCACGGTGGACCACTCAAATCCGCGTCAGCAAACTAACGTGCCAAGTGTGCACCGTTAGTTGGGCCGTTGGATGGGATTTAACAGAAAGACTAACGTAGCTTGTTTTTTGTAATTTAAGGGACCACTATGTCCCTTTTTTATTTCTAGGGACCAATAAGAGCTTCGTGGATATTGTCAGGGACCAAAAAAGATATTTACTCTTAATTTTAAGTGAGATAATTTCTCTTTTCACTAAAAAAATTATACATAAAAAATTGTTAATTACTATTTTTTGAGGCAATTGTATAACCAATGAGTAATATATATATATAATATATATATATATATATATATATATATATATATATATATATATATATATATATATATGAGTTTAAAGTTTCTGATATTGCAAGAGATAAATTTATCTTCTGCACACACGTAAAAGTATCTGAGGCCCATGTGAGAAATTGAGAGAAAGAGAAAATATGGTCTCACACTCTTTTATATTACAGGAAATAAATTTATCTTCTGCAACATGAGAATATATATATATATATATATATATATATATATATATATATATAATTTATAGTGATGATTTCTTTATTCATTAATTTTTTTTTTAATGAAATGTTATTTACGAATAACAAATAATAACATGCATTCGATACACAGACATGATGTAGGGTCGATGTGTACTGTGTACATCCTACTTTAGAAAATGAGTGTTTAAAGATTAACTAATTTTGAAGTTGAATTTTTCTTGATGTATAGTTTCTTGAGAGAGCTTTTTAAAAAAATATTTAT